CTTGACACGTCACATTAAAGGGCCTGTTAATTAATCTTGCACAGGAGCCGGTTATCACCTTATTTCTTCCTCCTCATCATCATCATCTTCTTTATCATCATAATTATTAATTGTCCATAGTAAAGTAGGGAAAAAACTATGAATTTAGAGTGTATTCAATAATAGACGTCTCATAATGCACGAAAGCATCTAGTAAACAAAAACTTTCCGAAGGAGGAGCTGAAGACTCCCCCACCCAATAGGCCTATCTAAAATTTGTCTTCCTGTGACAGAACAAGCTCTCTTCTTATGACGCCACCAACCATGGGAACCCATCTGTGCGATAGGGTAAACTCTGGATCCGCCCCTGACATGTATTTAAGAAAAGTGCTTAAAAAAAATGTATGTTTACAATATTCATATATAGAAAATAATGTTGCATACTAGAACTAATATGGTTTTTTTTCCTTGTCAGTTGACTAAGTAATCAATCATTATAAATTGTACACCAAAGAGAAGAAAACAATTTATTAAACTATCATTAACTGTTCACCCCAGAGTTCACAGACTTGTGGTTCTTGAGTTAGGTCAAGAAAGAGGAGGTTGAGTATAAACATAGGCCTACAGGTGGAATTTAGGTTTTTTTTCCATAATCAATTAACTTGTGGTCTGTCAAAAAGTGGTCAGGTTTCAACCTTACCAACCATACCGGTGGCTTCGTCCCAGCCCCCACTGGACAGGTCAACCCGTGGGACAGAGCTCGTCGGGCTTGTTTTTTTTTTTTTATACATTATTGTTTCTCTGTAATACATTCATTTGAATTATTCTTTAAAACTCAAGTTGATTATATAATTGTATAATAATATATAATTGTATGAAAATATTATTCTTTGTGGGGTTTGTTTACATAAAAAAAAAAATTTAATTGAATTTATTAGTAGGCCTAATTCTTTTCCCTAAAGACAATTTGAACAAAAGCAGTGACCTGGAGTAAATAAATTAATTTATTGAGAAAGTCATTTAAATATGCACAAATCAGAAAATGTATTATATCAAAATATAATTACCCATCAAGCCATTGTAAAGTTGTGTGAAAATAGAATTTAAAATTGGAAAATTATTTACAGTTATTAGCATTTTAAAGAAGGTAAATTTAACAAAAACAGGAAATGTTGAGTTTATTGGTAATAATGATAATCTAAATAAATTCAATAATTATAAATATCAGATATTTATTTTTTATTGTATGTATTAACAGAGAAGAAACATTGTTTTTTCCAAGAAAAATATCATTTTAAATTTGTAAAATGCAAATTTTGATATGCTTGATATTTTAATTAGATTTCTGACTAGTATGAACTGAATTCATAATACAAATTTTTCTTTGTGCTGCAAGCTTTTGTTGGCTTCAAATTTCATTACTCAGTTTTCTTGAACGGACCATTAATGATAGGCTGAGTTTATAAAACCTTTTATGGATGAGAACAATGGCACATATATTCACAGTGTTATCTGAAATAATTAGCTTTTATCATATTACATTTTTTTTTCAAGATTGTAATATCAATATCCAAGTACAATTAATTTGTATGTGTAACCAGAGTTAATGATTTTATGTTAAAAAGAAATTTAGATATAATGATTTGTATGGTATTCAATTCAACAGTTCACTGTATTTCATTATAATAATTGTTCTCATAAGTATTCCATGGTGTTGTGTTGACAAGATTTTCTGGTGTTATTGACGATAATCGTATTATTTATAGAATTCTAAAATTATGTTCTATTTTAAATAACATTATATGCTAAGTACGGTATAATTACCTTTGCAGGTATAATTACCTTTGCAGGAATAATCAGCTCACTTGTGCCAAAGAATGGCAAATAGATAATCTGAAAGAATTTTTGATGGGAAATTCCACATTAAGGCTACAATCACCAATAAATTAATGTACATGAATCTGAACTTAGATTTAATTTTCTGAGTACAAATGTGTGTTGAAATTAATTTGAAGTAAAGTTTTAAGCTCAATATATTCATATTTTTCAAAATCCACTGGTATATTAGATTCAGAATTTAACCCTTAATGACTTTAGGTATTCTGAATATGTGAGTTTAGATGTGGCCTATTACTAAAAAAAACCAAAGGATCCACTGATTATTCGCAAATAGAATATGAGTATGGTAACTCTGAAAAATGACAAACCTGAGGCCATAATTAATTTTACGCTTTGTTCTTTATTAGAACATTGTAAATGTTCTAATAAAGAATGAAACATAGAATCAATTATGGCATCACGTTTGTCGTTATTCGGAGTCATCATAATAATATTCTATAACTCTATTTTTGAGTGAAATTTTGACTTGGCTTTATTTAGCACTTTTTCACAAAGTTGGTAGATATTTGGTTATTGTGATATTACAATCAACTTTAGTTAATTATCGTATTTAGAGGGATTGTCGTGTCATGTGATAAAAAATTAAAGGTGAAAAGTTTTGTGAAAAACCATTAAAAACAAGAGCAACCACTCACCGGTCTGCGTTTTAATCTGAGGTTACCTCTATTCATTTCTTTTTTTAGCGTAAAGCCTGTCTTCCAATCTAATTTATTCAGCAAGTTTCATATTTACCATTAATTTCTACTTATAAAGGACACATTGAATAAATGCTGTGTTGTAAGGAACCGAAGGACGTGAGTTTAGATTGCGCCTGTGTTTAATTTTTTTTTTGCATAATTGAACATTCTAAGATATTTGAGAGCTGTTTAACAAAAATATTTGGAAGAGCGCTAATAAGGTAAATAATTAGAATGTTTATTTGTACAAAATTAAAATGTCTTAAAATTAAGGAAATAAAATGTCTTAAAATTTAAAAAAAAAAATGAAAATTGAATACCAAGACACGATTCGAACTCAGGACCTTTGGTTCCTTAGAACACGTCGTAAACTAACTAGGGCATTCATCCGATGTGTCCTATTAGTGGTAATGGCAGTAATGTACAGTCCTTGCTGAAACTCCTGTTTTGTTTTGTTGGTGTATGGGGTACCATGGGGTCCAACTTAAAAAAGGGGCCATGAACAGTTGTTGAAAATCACCTCTAGTTTATGTGTACAACATTTCCTGCACGTCCATTCCAAGTTCTGGTAACAACAACAATTCAGAGTGAGGTTCAGAGGTCCACCTGCACAGATCTAAAACGTAAATGGTGAAAACTTCAAAATGTTGGCTTACATATATTACATATGTAGGTTTTATGTTTTGTATGGTAAAAGAAAGCTAATATCAATAAACAATTAGTAATTTTTTCATATTCCAAAACAATGTTTAATATCATGATACACAACTGCTGAATCCATATACTCCTTTCTTCATTTAGTTTAGAATATTGATCTTTCATGAAGATAATGGATATTTCTTAATGTCATGTTGTTGAGAATAACCATTATCTTTCATCAAGTTAATGATTATCAACATTTGCATTTTGCAGGCATTATCTCAGATTGTCTAATAGATAACCTGAATAGAAGTTTTATAGATTTATAACACTCAATTTCATCATGTTCCTTTTGCTGACATTATTTGGTACTGCATATTGATTTTTTTTTTTACACAGTGTATTTTTGAATAAAATTTTACTACTGTACAGAACTGATCTGACCTATATAGGTATTAATTATTCCATATGGTAGGAAATTAGAGTATAATAATAATAATAATAATCAAATTTAAATTGTTATAAAAGGTAAATATATTTATAATTACCATTTTGAACAATTCAAAAAGGTAAATATATTTATATTGTAAAGATAAAACTGGAAAACATATTCAATGATTATGATTATGGAATTTGGGTAGTGTACAAATGAATAAATTGCTAATTAAACTATGCATAATGTCAAATAAATATATGCTTACAATCTAGAATTTCCTCACTTTGAAATGTTAGGTAGCAGGTCTATCAAGGAAAGACACATTTGAAAATGTTGTTGTAGTCTGTCTTTGTTTTGGTGCATTTTGGCAAATGTTATACCAAACAAGTCATTGCATTGTGTCTGATTTTTCAGAATCTTTTAAAATTTTAACCTAAAATATCAGTTGAATATGCTTTCATGTAAGTAGTATGAGAAAACATTTCATAAGACAGTGCGGTGTGTGTGAGATCCATTGACATTTGTTCCTGGTTCAATTGCATCCACTGCACTTTTGAAATGAAAGAAGAAAGTGCGCCATCATTCAGAAGAGACATTATAGCCATCGGTCCCATATGTGTATGGTCCAAGTGCACGTTAAAGAATGCAGTACGCTCTTTGAAAAAGAGTAGAAGATTGTCTTCTGGTGTACTGCCTAATCACCACCAAGAAGGAGCCTACTGGAAATAAGTCTTTAAACTTCTATGTGTTATCCTTGGTGTCCACTGGATACAGTATATCCAATCCAGTTCGGTTCGGAATGTTCATATAGCCAATTATTCCTTGCTTCTTTCTTATTCTGGTAATACTTTCCTGATAGTCAAATAAAAACTTAAATGTTGATTGATTTCTCACTTAAAAGAAGATGGAAATATGTTTATTAGATGGACCTTTAATTTTGATTGCTGACTGTTGTATTAAGTATTATTCTTGTTGTTTAGTTACTATTCATTATCTTTTTGTATTTTTCAATATCAATTTTCTGACAACAGATTTATAATCTTTGTTTCAAATGGTAAATTTCCCAGGAGATTCCGCCATCTGCAACTCTTAAGATATTTGCACTTTGTAGTATGTGCTATTTATATTTAAATTATTATTATGAATAATTTGTTGACGTCGTTCATGCATCATGTAGTAACACGATGTACTGATCACATTTCCTGGTTGAAGCATACATTTCCACAGAACATTTACTTAAATTTGAAAATAATCAAGTTCATTTCTGCAGTTTTTCCTTCAACTTTAGACAACATTTCAAGTAATAAATGAAAAGGTATTTAAAATGGATTATAGGTTGCATATATGATATTTTAAAGTTATTTTGTGTGAATTTTTAACCAGAGATTTCAGTGCCATTTTTATGTTTATCTACTGTAGTTTGGAATATTTGAGTTACCACACATCTGTTATTGTTGAACGCAACTGCTTTGTGTTCCAGCCCCACTTGCTATGCCTGACTACACAGTCATAATAACGTTTCTTTCATAAAGATCCGATCAATAGGCACATTGCCTGTACACTTTATGGATGAGTTATTGTTGGATAAACCTAACAGAATTGAATCCATTCATGAGGCTTTTATTATTTTTTTTCTGTGATGCATCAGAGGTGTTTTTTTTTGTAACTACAGTAGTAACCTGTACCTCCATGACCAGTTGAAGATATATTTTCTAAGAATATTTTCACAGTATTTGCAGTAAGTATTATAAGACTAGTTTTTATATTGATGTTTTAATATTTAAAGTATATACTTAATATATAAATTACTATGATTATGATCAGTGGTTTGTGCATTTTTATAGGGGTTTGAATGAGAATAATTTATATATACAATATGAAATTTACATTAGCTCAACATACTGTATCCTTAATATCCCAACTGTGGTTGTATATTTTTAGTAATTTGTATGTTGATATGATTGTTTAATATTGATAAAACCTATTAACTGTTGTTCAAAATTTTAAATGGAATATCATATGTTGGAGATTCTTAATGGTAATCAGACAAAAACCACCCAGGACAATAACCACCCAGACATAAACCACCCAAAATGAACTATACCATTGTTAAAGTGGGGTGGTTTGTGGGGTGGACAATGTTGGGTGGGCTTGTTTTTATCTAGCTTTACAATAGGATAGTGACTTCATATTACACACCTTCAATTCAATTATTCTTTTGACAGCATGCATTTAAGTTAATAAGCATCTTAGATTTCAACAATTATTGTGCTTAAAAGTTGGCCATTATTTGAATGATTTAAACACAGCACTTAACTTCCAAACTTTATGGTAAATTCAAATGTATAATTTGTAGTAAAGTTTTAATACATTAATGAATATGACTGTTTTCATTGAAATCATTATTATTATTAAAGGGAATTATCTTTGTAATGTAATGTATTTTAAGCTTGTAATCCAGATTTTTTTGGATTCTTTTAAATTTTATTGTATTTTATGACGTAATGTTTTTAATCTTTTTTTGAATTGCCCCATGTGGGATAATTAATGATGTATTGTATTGTATCTAATTGAAAGTAATTTTTAAAGGAATTAGTCCTTTTATAAATTTAAATAAATTTAGAATACTAAAATATACAAATACCATAAAGATAAAAAAGAATTATTAATGAATACAAATTTTACTACAAATTTTACATTTGAATTTCCATGAAGTTTGGAAGTTAAATGTTGTGTTAATATCATTAAAAAGAGAACCTTAACCACAGTGATTGCTGAAATCTAAAATGTGTATTAATCTACATGCATGTTATCAAAATAGTCACAAATGAGCTAGATAAAAACAAGCCCACCCAACATTGTCCACCCTACTGCACACTCCACTTTAACAATGGTATATTCCACTTTGGGTAGTTTTTCTCAGGGTGGTTATTGTCCTGGGTGGTTTATGTCCTACATTCATTTTAATGCATTAAAAATGAAAACATGTATATATTGTGATTTTATACATACCATTATTTTGTAGCAATAATTGTCAAAAATTGTCACAGAAATTGCATATGATTGGGAATACTGTAAACATTTTGGATAATTTCTAGAACTGTATAATGTAGTCCTTACAGTTTTTTGTTTTTCTATTGAAATTATTTGTGGCATGTTGCCAAATAAGTGATTACACAGTGACTGCTATTTATGTGAGGGAACAATGCTTTTCAATGCTAGCACTGTAAATCCACTCATGGCAAATTACTTTTCAACATCCGCAAGAAAAGTCTATGGCTTCCTGGACAGTGTTTTAAATATCTTCCACTTCCTGATATGCTTGCTGTAAAAATTCACATCTTCTGCAAAATTCATTGGTCGTTTGCTTAATAGCTTCTTGTCACGTATATATTTTTTGGCGGAAAGTTATACATTAGTCTGATTACAGTTAAGTAAAATATAGCTTTTTTTAGTTACATTCTAATTTGTATATATATTTTTTGCAGTATTTTATATTATGACAATATATTTTGTAAATAGTGGAAGAACTTCATTTCCTTGGTTTTGGAAAAATGGAAGTGGAAAACATAGTTTTGAAAGTGAAACTGTGTAGACATTTTTTAAGGGTTTGGACTGAGATCAATGCATGTATTGTACAGTGTAACTATGTTATTACCACCATGTTACACAATATCTTTCAGGCACTTTTCCATTTTTTAGCAGTCAGAAATTATGTAAATCAGGCTGAACATGAACAAATAAGAAGTGTGAGCATTAGTATAAATATTAAAACACCTCAAACTACTGATTGAGAAGTTTTAAAAGATGTATAATTGGATTCGTGATAAATTATTACATAGCAAAACCTGATGATAAAGTGCTTCTGTTATTTTCCACTGCCTTTTCTGTGCTAATCTCAGTTTCTCATTTAATTCCAAGTTATAAAAACTTGCAATGTGAACAAAGTTGTAAATTTCCTTTTTGAAGCTTATTTTTCTATCGCGATATGTGTTGATGCTTACATCTGTAGATAGATAGAACGATTCGCTGTTGTATATGGGGTTAATGATAGGGAGTAAGCAGAATCAGCAGTTATTTAAACTCTCTTGTAGGCTATGATTTTATATTCAAGAATGCTTTGATGAAACTGCCAGTGTACATAACTTCAAGGACTTGTATTATATGCAACAAATACTCAAGCTTTGAGCTTGTCCTTGGATAGAATTAATTTTTTAAAATAAATTTTCCATGAAGAAACTATGAAGGACAAAATGTTTCAAAATGGTGCAGTCAGTTACATGGGAGGATAGAAAACATTTTTCAAATCACTAACTGGTTGATTCTCAAGATTCAAGATTAATTTGGTTTTGGAAAATCCATTTCACTTTATTACATAAAATAAAACAACTAATGTACAACACACAAACTTTATTACAAATCTTTTAAATCTTCTAAATTTGGAACATTATTTGCCATTTCATATTTATTTTGAAATACTAAATTTGTTTTTCTTTGTTAATTTTCAGATTATGCTTGATAGAACTTTATTAAATTAATTGTGCTTGACATGGATTAAGTTGATGAAGATGACCCATGTAGGTACAGCAACTCATTTGATTTATTGCACATAGTTTGCTTAATTGATTATCCAGTGTAAATCTACATGATTTAGATAGATAGATAGTTGTATTGAATATTACAAACAAATTTAGAAACCTGATTTAAGCAAGTCATTGTATAATTTATTCTGTTTTTTTTTATTGTAGTGAAGACTGATTTTGAAAATGAGTAGCAAACTCAATGTAAAGGGCACACAAGAGAATGTTACTGAGAGGGTTCTTCTAAAACGCTTAAAGAATGAAGCAAAAAAGAGGAACTGCTCTGTCGTTCTTCACAAGGCGAAGCTTCCTAGGTACGGGTACTACAATGTGTGTACAGGGGAAAGTGATGATCAGCAGGTTCCAAATGTTACAGATATGTTAACTGATGTAATACCAGCATGGTTACCATCACCATCAGATGGTGATGAGCTCCCAGCTGGAGGTGCATGTACGACTAACCATGAGCCACGAAATATTTTCCAATCTATCAAATCATTCTCAGGATATGATTATAGGACTGAAGAGAATGGAGAAAAACCATCTACAGGATTACAGGCAGCACCAGCTGATTCTTTATTTCTTACTGATCTTGGAACAACATTATCTGATCCTACCAAAGAGGGTGGGGGAGTTAATACTGCCATGGACAGTGTGATTTTTAAAGGCCATGTAAATGCTGAGGGAGAAATTATGAAGAAGGAACATGTGGAGGAAGTAGATTTAGAGGAGGAAGTAGAGGATAAATGGTGTCCTCTCACACCAACAAGTGAATCTGAAAGGGACACTGTAACATCCATTAATATACCTGATGATGGAATTGTAGATTATAGCCAACCTAATCTTGATGATAAAACTAACAGTGGCTCAACACTTTTAATCAAAGAATGTTGGTCTTTGGCTGGAAAAGAATCATTCTGGAGTAATCCAAGTGATGCTACTATTGATTGCAATCAGACCAACAAATATTCAACTTCGACCTCTCCAGATTATGTTAATGATAATAATTATACGGAGTCAAATTCAGCAAAACAAACTTCAGCATTTAATACTGAAGTGACATGTTTAGAAGTTGTTCAGAGTACACAGGATGCTGTTACATTTGAACCAGAAGAATCAACATTTCATCAAGAACATTCAGACAATGAAGTTCAGAGTACTCAGGATGCTATTACATTTGTATCAGAAGAATCAACATTTCATCAAGAACATTCAGACAATAAAGTTCAGAGTACTCAGGATGCTATTACATTTGTATCAGAAGAATCAACATTTCATCAAAAAAATTCAGACAATGAAGTTCAGAGTTCTCAGGATGCTATTACATTTGTACCAGAAGAATCAACATTTCATCAAGAACATTCAGACAATGATGGTGATGTCAAAACCCTACAGAGGCCCTGTGAGGTGACAGATCAGTGTGTCATTCAAACAACTAAACAAACTTTTTCAGATGATGATGCAAAACAAGTATATTCATCCTCAGATGATGTTCAGGAAACCACAGACTCTATCAAAAATAATATGTTGACAACACCTAAAGAGAAACCACAAGTGAAGTTGTCAGAAATTGGAAAAGAGCAATTTATAACTACTGGCTCTCCAGTAGCAGAGAAAACATTAGCTGTGACTCCTACACAATATATATCACTACAGCAATCTGACTATAATAAAAATTATCACTCAAATACTGAAATGAACATTGATCAGCATTTAGCTACCTCATTATCAAACTCTGAGTCGGACAGGACAATAGAACAATTGCATTCAATGTCAGTGGGCAACATAGCTACTTCTATGCAAACCTTTAAGGCTACTGAGCATTCTTCACCATCATCAAAACCTTCTACTGCAGCAAACAGTATTACTGCTCTGAATGTTGATAGGATTGCAAGAGTGCCAGAAACGTCACAGAATATGGAGACCATTCCAATGTCTCCTAAATGTATGCTGGATAACAACCAAAATGATGGAGACATAGAAAAAAGTAAATGTGTTGCAGGTGTAAATCTAATTAACAACAGAAATGAAACCAGTCAGTGTTTCTTCAACAAATCAAATTCTGACACACTTGTGGGCAAAATACAACAAGGTAATACAGAAGATAACTCAACTACACAAATATCAACAAAAGATGAGAAATTGACAGTGAATATAACTAAACCAGATAGTTTACAAACATCTTTAGAGATTGGCAACAAGTCGAATGCGAATACTTCACCCAATCAAAGTAATGAAACACCATATAAACGTCCTCGGGGCCGTCCAAAAGGAAGTGGTCGCTCAAGAGGAAGAGGAAGAGGAAGAGGTGGCTATGGATATGGACATGGGTTTATGAGGCAAGAAATTCCTTTTCATCATACGGTTAATTTTAACAACCCTATGAATACATGCATAAATAACATAAGTCAATCCCCACAACAAAATCCACAGAAAGTAATTGTACCAATAGAGTTGCCATCCAAAGGTGTTATTGGACTGGTTTCTCAGACAACTTACTCTGAGATTCAAAAGCACTTGTCTGCCTCAGACAGCGTTGTGCCTAATAAACCTGAGCAAAATCAACCAGTTTACCAAGGTCTATCGCATGAGCCTCATGGAAGAATTTGTGTTCCTATTTATGATTCAGATGTTTTGAAATTTGTTCAAAAGACAATTTCGAATGGGGACTCTACATTGCAGACGCCAATGCAAATCCACAGCAATTCACATAGGACATCAACTGTTCAAACGAGTGAACCAAATCAAATGATAGAATTACAGAGGCCACCACCAGGATATCAACCCACTCTACATTCCAACATCAATAATGATGGGGCATACCAGTCAACAATTGAAAACAACTTGCCAGTTGCTGTGAACGAAAAGGAAATGAACAGAAATTGCTTTCAAGTAGAAAATGAATCTGTGCTTGCTCTTCCTCGTAATTCCATTACGAATTTGCCTGTTCCAATTTCAATTCCAAAATCCAAGTACAATAGAAAAGGATCAAATATTAAAGGATCAACTACTTTGACAGTCAGAGAGCAGTTGCTTGAGAAAATGAGGGGAAGATTATATCAGAGAAGGAATTTTACTGGAACAACACCACGTTTACAACAACCTTCTCTTGTTACCAATGCTCCTATATTTCATATGTTGTCACCAAGACCACCACATCCATCCAGCATTCCAAATAGGAAGGGAATTTTTTTCAGTCCTGTCCAGCAAACACACTCTATTTCACAAGAAATCAGAAGTAATCCACCATTTCCAGTGTACAGACCTTCAACAAAAATCAGCCCCCAAGTCTCATTTAACCAATCATTTGTGGCCACACCTCAGTATCATTTTCAATCAGATCCTCAAAAACCTGTTTCACATACGGTAGTGCCTATCGAAACAGGTGTTGTAAATAAAGTTATGAATAATTCACTTGTTTCTAACTCAGTGGCAATGTTCACAACACATACTCCTCATTTTCAAACCTCTAATGCTCCCCCTCAAGTTACTATCATTGATACATCTAGGCCTGCCCCAAGGCATAATGCAGTTCAATTGAGAAAACCAGAGATACACAGTTCAAAGCAGCAAAATAATTTTCATTCACACAATTTATTTGCTACCAGACAATTACAGGCAATAAACATTCAACCACAACAGACCTTCTCAGCATTGGATTTAAGTATGAGGTCAAAAGATTTTCACAACAATGTCACTGTTAAAAAACCGGAAGAAAATTACTCTGCTCCACTGGATCTAAGCAGGAAACCCCACCCCACAGTTGAGAATCCTGATGTTAAATGTACACCACTTGATCTAAGTCAAAAAGAACAAGACAGACCTGCAAAGTATTTGGAGCCTGTGGTTCAGAGTCCAGACCTGAATGGCCATGAAGGCATGCCTCAACAGAGTAGCGTGTCTTCGGAATCATTGCGGTCTGTATCAGACGTCGAGCCTGAACAATCTCTGTCAGTTCTTGCAGCTGCTGCAGAATTGTTAGAGTATAAACATGTGAGCACTGGTGATGTTGATCCACCTGACCAACAACCTTCACCAAAGATGGAAAAAATAAAGGTGAAATTTAATTCTAAGCAAAAGTTATGGCATTTGGTGCCAATGACTAAAGACCTTCAGAAACATACTGGTCAAAAGCCAAAAAGAGGCAGACCACCAATTGTAAAAAATATTGAAGAAAATACTGTAGTCAAACGTCACCATTGTCAATTTTGTAATTTCTCTCATATTAAAAAACATGAAGTTCGTGTACATATAAAAGTGGCTCACTTTGCTAAATTTAAGAAAGATCCGAAAAATAATGACTTTCACCAAGATGATGTGGAGAAAATAAGGATTAAAAATCCTCCTGAAAATCAGGATCCAAATCCAACAAAAAATCACCGTGACTTCATGTGTAAACACTGTGGTTTTAAAACGACGTCAAGTTATATTTTACAACTTCACATAGCAAAGTGCCAACCTAATGAAACTTCAGATGTTTGTCAGTCAATAGAGAGAGAGATAATTGAGGAACTGAAAAAACAAAGACACACCTGCAACATATGTGGAGCTACTTATCTTTACATCAATGGACTTCGTTCTCATGAGCACAGACACCACTTGCTGCTTGCTCATCAGTGTTTAAAGTGTGGATTAAAGTTCAAATCAAAAGGAACCTTGCAACGCCACCAAATACAAAAGAATCATCTTCCTGTTAAAGAAAATGAAAGTGTTTCAAGTCCAGGTGTCTAAATGTTATTCAGAATAATAAACAAATTGTTTAAAATATTCTAAAAGTTAAATTGAAAGCATCTTATGTAGGGGAAATCTTATGATTCAAATTATTTTTGTTCATGTAACTCATAATATTTTCTGGTACAATAGTAGATAACAACATACTAACTAATAGTATTGTTAACTTCTAAGATTCTATCAAAAAATCACAAAGAGACTTTCAATGAACTTCCTCTTCTAGGATAATGGAGCTGTGAAAGGTCAGGTTTCAAGAATACGCAAAAGAAGCAATATGAATATTGCAATTTTTCTAAATTATTGGTGTATAAATGTTATGATGACATTTTTGTAAATAAAGGTTAACATAATTCATTGTACATAATATAGATGTTCAACAGAAATGAGTGAAGCACTTTTCTCTTGATTTCATTGATTGTGGGTGCTGTATTCAGTACATGTAAATTTGTATTTAAATAGTACGGTACAGTACTAATATCTTAATCTTGCTAATCTAGACAAACAATGCTCCAAATTTTGAAGCTATGAAAACCTGAGACACTTGCCTCAGACGAAAATTCATGTTAGGAAAAGAAAATAGGAATCAAATGTAATCCTTTTTTCTATTTTATACTGCCGAGTAGTTCAGTGGTGTTTTATTTTGTACATGAATTTATACATTCCTTTTGATAACTATTTTTTAATTTTTATGATATATAGCATATATATACTTGTACCATGTTGAATGACATTTATGTATGTATGATTCAGTCATCTTGTTAAATTATGTTATTTTAGTATTAAAACATAACTGGCATGGGCATTAATCTCAGCAGATATTTTCAATTTATTTTTTGTACAAATATGGTACTGCTGTATACTTTAGTTTAAGAATCAGTCAACATTTTGTACTTTTCAGTTTGAAATGTTGTATGTTTATTATCGTTTAGTTCATTCACTTAATTTAGATTAATTTGTTTTTACCATATTAAGTATTATAATTTGATTGGTTTTTGCCTTTCAAGAACGATATAAGGTCAAGTATTCAATGTCCTACATAATTAATTATAATTTTTTTTTTCGTTCCAAATTTTTAACCTGTTAATTATTTTTATTTAAAAATTTACTTGTGAGTTGATTAAAAATAGATATCCATGGTAGTTCCATAATCAAAATGACACTTATTTCTCAAATCCATACGTAAATCTCATCATTTCCTTATTTTGACTATGTTGGATTTCACAATAGTTAACGCTCATTATTCAAATATATTACGGTAGCTTCCCTATTTAATGTATGTAATTTACATGAATTGTGTTCATGTTGAACTTATACAAAGAGTATTCACGTACGGTATGTACTTTATATCAAAGAAACCATTAACAATGGAATAGTCAGGGATTTCGATTGATTGTTTGAATAACCATGTCATGCATATGTGATATGGTGATCTATGTTTATTTAAAAACACAATAAATAAGTGTTATTACAAGCTATCTTTGATGTAATTTATGTTATCAATCGGAACAAAGATGGGTTAGTTACACGAAATAATACCAGATCCGGATTTCGAAAACGAAGTAAAAGGGCGCAGTTTAGTTTGTGAAAAGTATAATACTATACTAAATTAATGTATAAACATTCTAACCATAAAATGAAATTACTAATTTGGCTTTATTAAGGCCTAAGTTGTTTTCAAGTTGAGGCAAATGATATGGTTTGTAATCACACTTGGGTACTGTGTAAACGTTTGTGTTACCTTTTATTGTAAAATCATTGAGGTATACTTACTATTTTTGAAACATTTCAATTGGGTTTCAAATAAGATAGGAAAGTAAGTGATGTTTAAAACGTCTGTAAAGGGTCTCTGAATGTTTCGATTTTATAGTCTCTAAAACATCCAGTGAGTTAGAAAATATGGGGCCAGTTTTTACCGACGGGCGCCACACCCGAAACCAAAACGTTCGCAAATGTTTTACACTTGTTTTTGCTGGAATATTCCCAATACATGATAGGCCGGAAACACGCATGTACATCATGTCTCGTTATGATCGTAATTAATGTGTACTCATGTACCTATTTTCCTAACACATGAGTGGCCACGTAGTAATAATACATTGATTTATGATCGCATTCATTTAAAATTATTTTCCAGTGTTTACATATTGGAATGGATGTTAACAGTATTTGATATCAAATACGTACCAGTATTACGGATCGTGTAGTTTTAATGAATGAAATAAAGGTGAAATGTTTGTTTATCATAAGGTTAGCGTAATCAAACCACTGAATTCTGTTACATTCTAATTTAAATTCAACATTATCGCGTAATGGTCCAATGTTGTTTTTTTTTGTTTTTGTTTTTTTTTTTGTTTTTCAATTGTGTCAACAAAAAAACCCGAAAAATTACATTGATATTTTTTCAGTAGTTACAAATGTGTTCACTTCAAAAACTATCTACTGGAGGCTTGTCGAAAGTGGCATTATGTAAAAATGTTCAGTATTTTGTAATTGTAAATGTTTATTTTTGTATACTGTAGTTCCATTCAGTTCCGTTTAGTTGGAGATGTTGATGTAATAAACAAACGAATCAATGTAAAGCAAAATAGTATTTTTAATTTTTTTTTTTTTCATTTTTATATAGAAAGTTGGACATTCATCGATCAAAATTTTAATATTAAAGCTTGTCTAATGTGTCACTGCACGAGTTGCCTATCGGTAATACAGGATAGTCTGTAATTTCAACTGCATTGCTAGGTAGCAGCATAGTTGCAGGTGGTAATAGAGTGGTCCTTGTATGTGAATGGTTTTGAAATTGCTTGGTTAGGAATGTAATCATGGCATCTTTCACTTGCTCCATTAATGTTTGAAAACTCCTTTAGATATCTAAAGTAGTCAGCCTAAAGGCGAAATGTACATAACTTTTTTAAATAATTAACTTTACTGTGGAATGACCAACCTCCTTGGATCGCCAAGCTTAAGCAGGGTTGAACTTCGACATTCTCTGAGAAGACCATACCACACAAAGTAAATTGTTTATCATACGATCCATCTATTTACCCCTGTACTAAAACAACATACTGTTCGATAAATCACTGCACTTTGAACTGGTTATCTTCTACTTGATATGCTCTACTTGGCAACACGTAGTAACTTCCGCAAACAAGGTCAAGGCTATCGCGATGTCATTTTGATAAATTACAGTACTACGTTTACTGCGGAAGCCCGAGTGCTGACAAGTCAACGATAATTTAAATACTATTAATTCGTATTTCTAATGATAGCAGTCCCAGAATATATGACAATTAAAATTTCTACCATGTCCTTTAATATATCAAATCAAATCTCAAATAAAGTTTATTTTCCATACAATCGTAATAAAATACCATACATAATATACAATTCTGACACTGAAATATGAGTATGAAAGGAAACTTATATGTGTTCTTAAGAACTTTAGGGCATAGCCACCTAAACGGAGTTGAAAAGGTAAACACACATGTTAATAATAATGAGTCCAGGTATGATTAATAATATGCCTACTGTATTAAGAAAAGTACCGTAATTAATACATAATACTGTACATTGTTCAGTATGACATGTCAGATATACTTTGTATCCAAAGATGGACTCAAGACAAGATGTACAGGAACGTTATGGTACCTTTCCACCACCCCAACCCAAAATAGATGCCATCTCACTTAATAATGTCACCCAACATCTTTATCCATATTTTCTTTTTAATTTTTGTTTTAAATACAGTATAGGAGACCAATCGTTTTGTTTAACGGCGTGACTTACTGCACCTCGGAATGTGACCAAGACAAGACGGTGTTTACCTCATCGATTCGACAATTTCTGTGTAGAAATAGAAATAAATTTACCATCTACTAAGTGTATTTTTTGTTCCCAAAGTTTTGGATTCAAATAGGAGTATATTTGCCATAGCATCTACCGAAGAGTAGTGCGTATCTACTTTAACCATAGAGAAAAATTGTTCTTTCTCTGTGCTCAGTTTTACATTTGTTGTCTACCTATCTTAATGTTTATGTACATGTTTATGTGGAATGAAATTAAATAAACCAAACCACAGATCCTATATATGGGGTCTGTGACTAAACAGTAAGAGATTCACCTCTTTGACACTCAAATGGTTTCCATATCTAATAATTTCTTACTGGAATTGCGAAATCCAGTTTCATTTCTTATACTAGGATATCAACTCCATAAAAATCTCGTTTAACAATAAATGAACTAATGCATAATTTTACAATAAATATCAAGGTTCGAGCAGCCAATTTTATTGTTTGCTAGCAGCCAGCCAACAAGACAATTATCCCGGAAAGAGGGAGAAGGCATCGTAATTTATCCGGAATTTGTGAAAGTAGTAAAGACTGAGGCCAATGTCGCGGAAAGACGAATTTAAACGATAATTTATATCAGAAAGATTGAATTCCAAGGTAATTTATCTTTCAAAAGACGGAATTCAAAGATAATTAAATAACAGATTCACGTAAATGAACATTTGAATAGTAAAACACGTATGTCATAATACAAACGTCCTTGCACAGACGTCATTTAGGCCTAATATAAATAAAAAGTGACGATGAGTGGTAATTTTTGCCAATGTGTGGAAGTCGCCAAATACAAGACAAGTACCACCTTTGTCTTGTTTGACCCGCATGGGATAAAAGGAGGCTTTGTTGCTTTGGTATGGCGAAACCATTCACAATTGTAAATCAGGTTCAACTGTACGCCCCTCCAAAAATTACTCGCGCCCCCCCCCCCCAAATGTCACTTGCAAGTAGTTAAAAATCACATAAAATCACCTTATTTTGAGCGTCCCTCAACTGATCATCGAGGGGCCCCCCCATTCACCCCCATCAGCACCCCCATTTCAAGACTTCTAGATACGCAAGCTGTATCTACCCACTGTAAGTTATGAAGCTTGGCCTTTGCTGTGATTTCAACTTCGGAAGAAGGCATGTTGGCGGTGTAATTTGTAAGTGAATTCTTTGTTAAAATCAAAAAGGATCCTAACCACAGATTTACAATTAATTTTTGATTACCTCCTGCTGCCTCTCCTGCTAAGTACAGTATAACCATTTTCTTCCTCCATGGTATAACCTCAATAGGCCCCGTATTTGTCACTTTTTTATTTTTTCTTTATCATTTTAGTAGATCTAGTTGTTAAGTTTAACCTTTTGTAAATGATCCTAATTTAAGTCATTCACTAAAATTATGATGTTTAACATTTGTTTTGATTCTGTTCAATTATTTTGTATGCTTTTTTTTGGACTCGCTTTCACAAGAGGTAGTTGTGTGCCACTGTTATAAAAGAGACGTTTTCAACTTATTATTATTATTATTATTATTGTATACTTATATAGCGCATATCAAACTTCTCTATGCGCTGAACATTATTACCCCGGATTACTGGATCAAGCACATATGGAACACACACTCAGGCCCCATAGGGGAATTCCATAATGTTGCAGCTGTATTCAGCGCAGGCTGTGTTTGAACCTACCAGGTACCCATTTTTACTCCTGGGTGGAGAGAGACAACCGCAGATAAAGTGCCTTGCCCAAGGACACAAGCGACTTGCACAGCGAGAGTTTTGATCCCCCGACCTCGAGGTTGGGAGTCCAAACCACAACCGATGCGCCAACCACTTCTACACTTCAACTTAAATTATTATTATCCATAAGGTTAACCAACCTCGTCCAAATACATTTAAATCTATGCTATTGTATTAATCCCTTGAATGACCCAAAGTGGTATTTGGCTCAGGGTGTATTTGCCACACCTTGAGGCCAAATACCAACGTTTGTTTGGTTTTGATTTTACTTTTGTGTTTGAACACTGACAAAGAAACTACAGTACACGCTTCAAAACGTAATGCATATTCGCCTCGATGGAGAACATTGTCTACAGAATTTATTATACGTATTTTATAGTGAATAAGCTAGTATACAAACATTGCAAAAATACTCCGCGACCGTTGAAAAAAAACGTCATCGTGTCAGAATGATATGTGGCCCAAGTCCTTGATACTACTGGAGGTAGTATTTCTAGCGTCGTTAAAAATATAATTTCATATCGGAACGTTTGGTATAATTTATTCACTTATTGGCTTATAGGCCTACATCTAAAATTATAAACACTTACAGTCATAAAGATTGGAGAAACGGAAGTGAGAGGCTTGAAAGGAGTGGTAGCCAAGATTAAAAGGTTACTTCTATGACGGTTTTTGGTAAGATCGACCCGGATTTCAACCTATCAATTACAATTACGAAATCCGTTCACGCCTTCACATACGGTCGGTGATGAATTGCTTATGTTGCAGGCCTATATTTAAATAAATTAGTTGAAATTTCAATAGAAGAAATCCTCACCACCTACCGGTAATCGATATTAATAAAAAAAATCTCTTTATTCTTTTTTCACGGACTATTTTAAGACTTTTGTAGTAAAAACGTGAAAATGAAAATTGATTTTGATGTGCGTTTGATTGGAAGCTAATCAAGGGCGGATCCAGAGATGTCTAAAGGGGGAGCCGAAAGTTGGACCGATTGAGATAACGCTACCCTAGGGAGTCCGGGGACATGCCCCTGCTAGACACCAGACGAAAATAACCTCTGAGGCATAGAGAAAGAAAATTTATTTTCTTTTTCTATGCTTTGGGCGATCAATTTTTTTCTTTCCTTTCTTTATTTTTTCTTTTTAACTTTCTACAAGGGGATGGGGTAGGGGAGCACCCTCTAAATCCGCACTGCAATAATAATGGAATGCATTTTTTCTTATGAACAATTAAAATTTCCTCCTCATATAAATCGACAAAAATATATGAATAATTAACTGTATAGGCCTCTTTTGATATTTATAGTGAAAAACTGGGAATGACCCCAGTGGCGGCTCTCAATGTCCGACAGAGGGGCCATCTAGAGGGTCAAAGAAAAAAAATTCTCACTGACGGAATACATGGCTTAGGATGGGAAAAAATCGTGCTTTTATTAGTAACAAACTTTGCTTGTATTGGAAAACAAATATTCTCATTTCCACAACCTTGGCGTAAAATTTGGATGAGGGTGGTCTTTCATGTTTGTCTGATGGGGGATATTTTCCTCCCTCACCTCCGCAGACGCCGTCATGAATGACCGTCAGTGATTTGCATAAACAATTTGAAACCTTCCCGATCTGCTCAAGACTTGGTCGATAGGTGGCTCACTACAACCTGGTTGTGATGTTTGTTTTCATTTTGTCCAGTATTGTATTTATTGGGTTCATTCATTGATTCATTTTAGCTTTTCATTCTTTATTCAGCCAAAAATGTAGTTCAGTAGGCCTAACAATTAGAAAACAGGACAGAATCATATATAATAGTATTAGGCCTATACTTTATTGGAAGATTAAAATTGTTGACCTATAACATCTGTAGTCATGATTCTACAAAGTAGTCTTTTGCACGGAAGATTTCTGGTTGAGTGTATTTCTTTACAGTTGTGTTTTTATGAGTTGATGATTTCTGTATAAAAAGAAAATAAAACAAGTAACAGAGCATTAAGTACATAAAGCAAACAAATAAATCAAAGTAAAAAACATAGGCCTAATCTACATCATAGAAATTATACATAAGAGTAATTAAACTGATTTTACTAATAACAATTGACCTTTCCAGAGCATCAATCAAACTGACTAATCAGGACAGAGCCAGGAATACGCGCATGTCCCACACGTGCACGTGTGTGCGTACCCTTTTACACTGTCGGTTGTAGGAACTTAGTAATAATATCCAAAAGGGCAGGCTTTAGAGGAAAGGTCCATAATAAAGGTGAACAGCAAATGTATGTTCTTACCTGTGAAAACAAAGGAATAGAATTTAAGAATCCTTTCAAAGTTTTCATCCCACCAAGATCTTTTTCTGCTTGATTCACTTGTTCTTCCATCATGGTAACATTTTCTTTAACTATTCCCACAAAAGCCTTCAATATAATAATTTCTCTTATGAATATTTTAAAATACTTCTACAATTGATTACAAAGCATAAGTGAGATACTTGTTCAATCATACCTGTGATTTGTCCATACATTAATATTGTGATATATAGTGAGCCCTCTATGGTGAAATAAATACAAATGAGTTCTCGCATCCTGGATATACATGTGTCTGTTTCCACTTTCTATTTTAACATGTACTGTATTCAACAACAATATATCAATATAAATCATGTGATATATGACATCATTAGTGTGATATGACATCATCATGCCATTACTGGAGTGATATGACATCATCATGATATTATTGGTGTGATATGATATCATTATGCCATTATTGGTGTGATGACATCATCATGGCATTAGGTATTGGTGTGATGCCATTTGGTGTGATATGACATCATCAGGCCTATCATCAAATCACACACTTGTATAGCATTTCATTCCAACAAGGCCTTGAAGCACATCACATTATTACCCAAGGTCATTGCATCAAGTGCGAACAGAGCGTAACACACCTAAGACTGTGCTTGTTATAGTTTTGTTGGTTAAAATGCTGATCCCAAAATTTTGAGTCCAACATCACTCTCCTCCTCCAGTCTCATACTTATATGTGGCAAAGACAAAGCCAAACCAGTCACTCATCGCAAAAACTGATTTTTACAAGGTTAAAAAGTAAAATAAGAGCTACACAATGGTAAAAAATAATTTAAATCCGACAGCTCATTATGAAGTTACAGGAGTTTAAACATAAATTGGTTTAAAGAACAATCTTTGAGAAATAAGCCTTTAAAGTCTATGATTTTGGGCATTTCTCAGACAGAAATCATTACAAAATCGTAAAAAAATGTTGTTTTAACATTGAAAATGAGGAAAATAAATGTATAGCATAATATATAGAGGTTAATTTAGTGCAATAAAATAAATTTCAACAATTTGACATTCCAGCATGTTTTGGCCATTATCTCCAAAACAGGATTTGTGACGAGTGACTAGTTGGCTTGTCTTTGCCACATATTTAGTTCACAGGGGACAAGATTACACTTTGTATACACTTGCTTTCAATTAAATAAAAATTATCTAACCTCTAATTGATCAATTTGTTTAAATAATTCTTGCATTTGGTTCATTTTCGCTGTGATTTCTGGAAGACAGTGGTTGAGTGACAACGAAGCCTCTGAACGAATCTACGAAAAGGAAGTACAATGAAAACAGAACAGTTACTATATTAGAAGCAAGAGCCATTTATCACGTCAACAGTTAAGTTATATGAATGATGTTTGACCTAACTGATGTGTTATCGTACTGAATGCTCAGTATGTTCCCAAATGCATGTGAAAACAAATTTTGCAAGCGATTCAGGTGGGAATCGAACCCATGATCTCCAGATAACTAGCCTGGTGTCTTAACCACTTGACCACTGAGCTTGCGCTCGGTGGTTAGTGATGAATCTGATATCCAAGTAGCAACGGGTACTGCAATGCTATTCTGATGTTGTTTTTTGAGTCTGGAAAAAATTATGAATGATGTTTGCCCTACCTGACGTGTTATTGCTCAGTACTTTCCCAAATTCTTGCGAAAAAATTTTTAGTTGAAGTTATCGTTTACTTAATAATGAAATTAGAGTATTTGTATAGTGCCTGTTAGAAGAATATTATTTGTGACTGGCATTAAATATTTTATAAGAATTATTGATTAAAGAGGTTAAGATTTATGGAGGGTCTTGAATGCATCAGCATCAGAAGTTTTATTATGGCTATCTCTTTTCTCATACTTGGCCCCACCAAGGTTCATACATAACTACTTAGGGTGGAGCTACAATTACTAGGCCAGAGAAGAAATTTTTTTTTAACCCTGTCAGCTTAATGCTGGTGTGGGTGGGGTGGTGGTATGTGGTGACTTAGCTCACTTTTAAACTACCCACCGATTTTATCTGATAGAACTCGTCGTCGTCGTTACTATCACTGTCATTGTCTTTGCCATCATTGACATCATCATCATTATTAGCAATCACCTTGCATAAAACTTACAATATCAACAACAGCACAAAACTCATCAAGTTTGGTGAGCATTTCTTCAATTTTCTCTTCAACTGCTTGCTTCTGTGGGGATAAGAATCTCACAATTTACACACGTTAAAAAAAAACAAAAAAAAACATGCTTTAATTAAAGATGGAGAGGATTGAAGCTCTAGATTGGTGCTTAAGATGTTCCCCATGCGCTGTACCTTATTTTAAATTATTTATTTACAAACAACAGACATAATTGATTAATGTTCCTGGTGCTAATTGGTGGAGCTGGCCTGATCCTAATCTTGAACTTCAGACTGACTTTGGCATGTTGGAATAATCATCATTTCCTTGATTCATGTGTACTATTAAGTGATACTGTAAAGTGGTGGGTTATCCACTATTGGGTGAAATTTGAAATAAAATAAATTGTCACATATGTAGTAAAACTTTGATATGAATCTGAAACTATTAGCATCTTACCTCTTTTAGGGGATCTGTTATGAAGAATTGAGAATAATCATGTGCGGTTTCCTCAATAATCTCTTCGGTGGACAGTGTCTCGTTTTTCTTCTTTACTTCTTTTTCTTCAGCCATACTGACTACTTGCTGCTGTCACTTCCTTTAATTTTCAATTATCAATTCAATACTTATTCAGCCACAAAATGCAAGGAGTTAATTAATATCAGTAAAGTTGAGGAGCATGCATGTGAGCACCTCCCAAAACTTCTCACGGGTCTTAATAAAGAAGTTTATTTACCAAGAGGCCTGACATTACAATATTTTGATTCACATAGTCTAGAAGAATGTAGGCATTAAATACAAGCTGATAAAAGATCAGTTGAAGAAGAGTGGTTCGGGCACGTCTGGTGTAAAATCTTTGATTGCGATCCACCCAATCACACGCGCGTATATCGAATCCCGTGAAACAGAGTTGGCGAAACTCTCTCTTTACGGCTCTGCTGTTCCGACTTTCATAATTTAGAGGTCAATCCAACTAGTGTGACCGACCCAGAATTTCGAGCCTGGCTTGAAATCTCACCCGCGGTGAGTCAAGCCAGGCTTGAGACGCTAGTGTGACCGTTGTGCCAGCCTTCTGTCTGCTAGTCCTATCCTACGTAGCCTAGGCTAGATTAGTTGACCTTGTTGTAGCATAAGCCTTCCTTAGTATTCCATTTGGATAGTATTTTGCAAGTGTATACATGAACAAGTTACATATACTTGTGCTAAATATTATAATAAAACATGCTATAGGCCTATATATCACTATTACTTACATACAACAAAGCAAACCAATAACAGCTATTAAAAAATGTTTTTTCCAACCTGCAAGTAGTAGGCGGAACCACCAGTACATTTCCAAAACATAAACATTACAGAAATAAAACTAAAAATCCGATTAACTTATTAAAACATCTTTTTATACAACTTAATTTACAAAAATATATTTTTAAAGAAATTTTAAATTTATTTTATCCCATGAAATATTTTACCACCGATTTCATTGCGTAGGCATACAGAAAGAGCAATTTAATTAGTTTTAGAATAGAATTTGTTGGACAAATCATGTGCGCCTTGTCGAGGGGATTTCCCATCAGAACAACCATCATCACATGACGCCCACAACAACATCAAATCCGTAGGTCACCATATAGGCTAGGCATAGCTAGGATTAAAGTTGGCAGGCCAAGCTAGTCTCTGTCTGGCTAGGCTGCGTCTGGCTGTTCCTACCACTCTAGACTAGATGTAAGCAGTTTGGAGGGCTATATTCTTTCAAGAACATTTTGAAAATTTGTATAGTCTTCAAGTATTTTAAATTATTTTATTGCAGCCAGCATCATGGATGAGTATAGGGAGGAAGCTGAGAAGTGGATAAAGTCCTCAGAACCTATGTTTATTCTTAGTAAAGTTAGTGAAGAATCAAGAGAACTCATTTTTGATGCAGCAGAATCAAATTCTTCAATCAGTTTTAGGATTGTTTGTCCCACATCTGATAATGAAACAGAAAACTTTGTAAGTATTTAAATCAACCTTTCTCTCTCTCTCTCCCCTTTTCAGTCCAATGGCGCAAATTGCGCTGTGCTGGCTGCTGCACACCAGCACTCTTGATCACTGCCTCTTCTTCGTCTTCCCTCGACAGACCCCTGTATTATTTCTTTGTCAAAGCCTCCATGGCATGACAGAAGAACCGCATTTTTCTGGTCATCTCTTACTTTTCATCATTGGAGATTTTATTTTGTCTAGCATCCAACAGTTTAGTTTTTCTTGCAGCCCAGGGGACTCACTGTAACTCACCAACTTATGCAAACAAATATATACGTTATCTTCCAAGTGGACTATAATTTTGATCCGATATTTCTTCTTTATGCTTGTTAAAATGTAAACATGCTGCACCCTCAAACTATCTAGATTGTCTGTGAGGCAATTGACATATTCACAAAATAATTGAATATTTGCATGCAACTAATGCCAAATGAAAAATGTTATTTTCTCATCCTTGATTGATATAAATATTAATATTTTACTGGTGCCAGATGTTTGGAGATATGACGGGATTCCATGACACCAAGACATGACGATGCATCTTTTTTACCGATGATCCATGTACTTAAACTATTGCTGATGGGTGGCAAACAGGCTTAGGTCGTCAAAGCACTTGCACACACTTGGCTGATGCAAGTCCTTGGCCTTACTAAGGCGAGATTTTTATTATATCTTGTTTTTTTAAAGATTGTCAGAGGAGGGCAGAATAAAAAAATAAAAATAAAATTTTGTTTTCTTATTTGGCAAATAGTTTTACCAAAAACAGAGTCTATAAAATTTATTTTGTTATTTTTTTAAATGTGTTTCTTCTTAAAAGGTCCTGCTCAGCCAAATTGGTACAACAAAAATGCTGATGAATGTCCCGGAGCCCCCTAACCTCTAGGGCGCCTGGTTTTAACCAGTGATGGCTCATAGTTGTGCACACTGATAATGTACTTATACCCTAAGTTAATTTTAGGAACTGCAGTATTATTTATTGTATTTCACAGGCTGTCGCAAGTGATGATGAGAAGACTCAACTACACCTGTTTGAAGTTAATGATTATCTGATGAAAAAGAGAACTTTGTTGCAAATTTTGGATATGATCAAGATAGTCGTATGTCCTGTACGTTAAAATAATTAACGATGATCATTAACTTTCTTGCTACAGTACTTTCTTATACCGCATTATTTCCCTTTCCAGTCTGGTCAGTAATATCTTAAAGTCAGGCTCTGGAGGAAAACAAATTGTTGATATGTTGTACAACACAAGACACAAAATGCATATTTGACGAAAGACTCAGGAGAGGTTAATGAGATAAAGATTTTTGAATATTAAAAAACTGGGGGAAAAGGGGCGTAACCACCCTGTTTTCCACCTTGTCCCCCAGTTTTTAAATATTCAAAAATCTGTATCTCAGTAACAGCTCCCAAGTTTTTTGTCAAATATGCTTTTTGTGTCTTAGAAAATCAGTTGTACAATATATCAAAACAATTTTTCCTCTGGAACCTGACTGAATTTTAATTAGCTCCAGTGAGTGTTTCACCCCTTATTATATTTGAGAATAGTACAGTAGTTAATAAACCAAAATCAACTCATATTTAGGGAGTAGTAGGATTTACCTACCATTTACATCTTAAATACTACACTATGATCATTATAGTACTGTGAAAAAGGCCTATAATTTACTATTCAAAACATATAATATTAGACTTGTTATTACTGTTGTAATATTCATTCATTTATTCCCCCAATCCCCACTCACTCATTCACTAATTCATTCATTCATTCACTCATTCTTATATATTTAATAATTATTACAAAGACTATAACTCAAACTTGCCTTTATGGCTGGAATGCACCGTCAGAAATAATCACGTTTTAGCGGATTCTTTATTATTATTTTATTATTATCTGATTATTTTGCAGAAAGATGAAACTGAAATTAGTGATTGTGAAGAAGAGGATGATTGTGAAGAAGAGGATGCTGAGGAATCAGGAGAGGGATCTGAAGATGATTTTGTTGATGACAGTTTTCTTGAGGAGTCTGAAACAGTACAACAAGAGCTGCTCACTTCCCCAAGCAATCCATGGTAGGCCTACAGTATATCAATTTTAAAATTTTTTATTTTTTGAACTCTGTTTTTAAAGGATAGGACTGGAATTGGAAAGAAGGTGGCCATCATAGTTATCATGCTCCAGTTCTAATTTTAATTGTAAAAATATTCACCTTCAAAAAATACTTTCCTTTCCAGTTGGGTAATTTTCACAATTTATTATTAAAAAAACCTTAAATGTTATTAATGTTGTTGTTGTGTACTTATTCAGCAAGATGAATACATTGTCATTCGACAAAACACAAAATCTGTAGGGCAAAGAACCTAAATGAAACAAATAAACCTGAAGACAGAGGACGGTGAGCATGACCAATTGTGCTGCTGCGAACTAAACGCTTGCTCATGCGATTATCTGCACTTTTCATGTGCCGCGCTCAACCACTTTCTTTAGAGATCGCCCTCGCGAGCCCACTCAGCTGTAGATCCATCAGTTAATTGTTGTGAGAAAGGGTCACTATTAATTGTAAATATCTCATTTTTAAGTCATGTTGCAGATGATGATGATGATATAAAACTGGGTAAGAAGTATAGCTGTCAGCAACCTTCCCTAGCTGCCTCACGGCTTATGGCAGGTAAGAGGGCTAGAAATGATATGACATCATAGATTATGATTAAGACTTTCTTGTACCTTGTTTAGCAAACCTGCTGCCCGCCAATCATGATGATGAGATGTGATGAGTCGTGGGATTAGCCCAGAGTGGAAACTACCGAGCATGTTGCCTGCGTACACCCACGGTGATAGTGTTGCTGTTTTCGTTATTAACGCCAGTCCTTCATTGGAAAAAATTGACCCCCGCATTGATTAATTTTTTCAAATTAATAATTAATTAAATTTAAATCTTGAGTTTTTGGTAGTTTTGTTTAAAGCTTGAACTATGAAGAACTTTACAAGTAGTTAAGATACACCTCAGAAGTCGGTAAAGCTCATTTCTTGCCATCTAGGAATCAAATCCTGGATCCGCCTCTTCTTGTGTACAGAAAAAGGTCTCACAAATGCAACCCTGGTGTATGAACAAGGGGCTGCCTAAAAGCTTCTGTCAGGGTCCAGACTAAAACTATTGAACACAATTGCTAAGTTGTAAGGCGAGGAGATTTTGGTTTATGTTACAAACAAATTGTGCTGCTCTGAGACACAATTTGTTACTGCAATCAAAATAATTAGCAAATTGATATTTTTTTTTTTTAGTTTGAAAACCTTTTTCCTCCCACGGCACTTGCCTCATCATAAAGGCATCAGCCTTGTGCTGCATAACCTTTAAAAGTATTATTACTTTATAGGATCTATATTGGACTTTAAAAAAAACCTAGCAGTTGTGTTCAATTCTGTTATTATTTTTTGTTAGATTTTAAGCAGCTTAAGAAGTCAGCTAGAGAATCCAATTTTGGAATATGTGGAGGACCAAGAGATGACAACCTCTTTTTATGGGTTGAGTATTATATTTATCATTCATGACTACGTACGATTAACCATGATTACTTGCTATATTCCTCTTCGCTGTCTTCGTTCTTCATCTAAAAATCTCTTGACAGTTCTGTCTGGTAAAGGCAAAACAAAGACTTACGGTCTACGTGCCTTTTCTTTTCAAGCCCCCTTTACATGAAATTCCTTGCTACTTTCAGTTCACAATTCGTCTAATTTGCTTTCTTTTGAGAAAAATCTTAAAACTATTTATTACAGGAATGTAATAACTTGCCTTATTTTCTCAGCACCTTTGATAAGTTTTGACATGGCGCTTTATAAATATTTGTTATTATTATTATCATGAATAATAATAAATTAATAATATAGCTTGTTTATGAGGAAATCAATCAGAAAAAAAATTAAGGCTTATGATTCTCCCATTGTTACTTATGGACAATTTTTCCTTTCTTGTAATTTATTTCCAAGTATTGTTTACAATGATGTGATTTTTGTGTTAATTTTCTTATGTTCAAAAGGAAAAATAAACTTTGATTTGATTTGATAATAATAGTATATGATGCAGAAATAATAATAATCTTATGTTCATTTCTGAGTAAACAACACTGAGTAAAGAAACATCCAATTAAACGAACAAGAAATGATTTTAATGATAGATAAGATGTGCAGTGTGTATTTAACAATTTTATTTAGATGCCTTTGAAGCTCTTATAAAGTATATGTGAAAATACCATTATTTAAAGAATGAATTGATAAAAATATTTGTCCTCAGGATGTGCAATTAACAGATTTTGATAGCAAGTCTAAATTGGGTAGTGACCTAGCAAGGTATGCTAAGAAGTACAATGAGGAACCAGTGGTTAAGCTTGAGATGGAGTTCCCCAACACATACCCGATGGAGCCGCCATTCCTTAGGGTCCTCAAACCGAGGTTCAGAATGTTAACAGGTATGTATACAGTAAAGCTAAAGGGTGAGAGTGGTGTAATGCCTATGGGCTCTCGATTGGATTGGATGGGATTTGGATTTATTCGGTGTAAACACCAAGGATAGCCCATAAAAGTCTAGAAGAAAACTAGGACTTTCAGCGCACACACAATGGCTACCACCAGATTAGCTGACTGAGCTAAGCTCCTCTCAGGGGGAATCCCCAGTAACTTCCAGTCCAAAGGGGCCCTGGAGTGTGTGAAAATTGGGCAGTACACCGGGAGACAATCCCCTACTCTTTTCCGAAAAGTGTACTGTGTTCTTTAACGTGCGCATGGGCCATAAATGTACACGGGACCAACGGCTTAAACGTCTCATCCGAAAGACGGTGCACTATTGTAATTTGTATTTCAGCCCTCCAGCTGAAACACAGGGAGAGGCAGCGATGGGAATTGAACTGGCGACCTAGAGATCTCCACGGTTTAGCGCACACACATATTATTATATTAGGGAGCTTTTGATTGCACGTCGTCGGTTGGACGTAGAACGTAATGACGTCACTAAAAGTCATCTGCGCATGCGAGAACGTTAAGGTCACCTCGTCGAGTAGATTCTTGAACGCAATTTGGCCAAATCTACGTATGCAGAGAACGTGGGCCGCCAGGTAGGACAGTCACGCATGAGTGATTCCGTTCTAGCGTCACGTCGTCGCACAAATCGAAAGCTCCCTAATGTTTATAAAGCCGGGCACTCACTCCGTCCTACGACCGTCGACCGAAAAATCTAACTCCACTCCCAGTGAGCGCTAGGCGATGTGACGTCTGCTGATAGTCGGTGGCAGTCTGAACGGACTGTCATTAACGATGACCCGCTGCGTGCACGTCATGGCTTTTTGTTGTCCATGGAAACTTGTTGGCCGACCATGAAATATAGGTGTTTATAAGAATTTTCTAAAAAGAATTTTAATTATCCTGACAATAATTATGAATAATACTAAATTTATTTATCTTTTTCTGAATCTACGTGAATGTACAATTTTAAGCAGCTGTTATTTTTTGGATAATTGAAATCTGTTAGTTGTTGGAGACTACATTTGGTGATGAGTACCCCAATGGAAATAAGTGTATTTTAAAACTAATTTGCATATTTAAATTTCCTATTTTTACTATGTTCATATTAAAATCATGGTATTTGTAATCTTCAGGACATGTAACAATTGGTGGCAGTGTTTGTATGGAATTGCTGACTCGGTCTGGCTGGTCGCCTTCGAACGACATTGAGGTAAATTTTATCCTCATTTATTTTAAAGTATTGTAATTAATGCACGAGTGCAGAATGTAAAGGCACATTTTGTCACTCACACCACAAAGAAGACAAAGTAGTGTAGTGTAGTAGTAATAATTATTATTTATTTTATGCAAATTCCATTAGATATATGTTTAAATGCACTTTACAATAAAATAAACAAGAATACAAATTTACAATATAAAGAGAAAGTTAAATTCCCTACTCTTTTCCGAAGTGTGTGTTATGTGTTTTTAACATGCATTTATGGAGGGCTTAAATGACATTTAAAATTTATTTTTCTTAAAGAGTATTTTGGTGCAAGTGAGGGCTGAGATAATGTCCGACCCAAATGCTAGACTGGATGACAAAAATCCAAACGTAGAATACTCGGCAAGCGATGCGAGGAGTGCATTCAGACGAATGACACAGAAATATGGCTGGAATTAAGTGACCATCATTTTCGTGTGGACCATGAACCAGACTATGCAATAAACCGTGTGTCAGACACAATGTGTTACCTTGCACTACACCATGAATTGGTTTACATGTTGAAATGTGTGCAAATTAGATATTTAGCTAGGTACTTAAAATGGATCAGCAATGCTTGAGTGAAATAGGTGGAGAGTTGCTTTAATAAATTTTATGGTACAGTACTTGCATTAAACTTATTCACATAGGTTTTATTCATTGAGTCCACATGCTTAAGTGCTGCTGCTATTAATCAGCACAGGAGCAGGCAAGTCCACCAGGTACCCAATTATACTCTTGGTTATGGAGAGAAGCAATGCAGATAAGGTGCCTGGCTCAAGGACACAAGGTATCCATTGAGGTTGCTATGCATGTAGAAGTTTGGTCCAGCGGTCATGGTTATACTTCTTAGTCTTGAGGTCAGTGGTTCAGTTTTGCTTGTGTCCTTGGGCACGACATCCTATCCACGGTTGTCTCTCTCCATCCACAAATACAAATGGATACCTGGCGGATTTAAAGCTGCCACTTTATGTAATTCCCACATTCAGCTGTGATAAAAGTAGCGTAGATGGATAGAGGGCTTTTTTAACTTCTTAGAATGAGCCAATCCGCATCAGATAAAGGTAATTAGACACTGGCTTTAGCATTCGATCTGCTTTTTGTAATATCTCTGATTTGGCACTGTTATTATGGTACCGATTTCCTTATGGTGGGCATTGTATATAGACTTGTGTCCTAAAATGGATATCTGCTGACAGGATTTTTCAACTATTTATCAAGGTTTTTTGGAAGTGCATAGAAACGAATGTAACAATGCTTTATATAACAGCTTTTGTCCATTGTATTTAATATGGTCCAAGTGCAAGCAATATTTGTAAATAATATTCTTTATTTTATGAAGTACAACACTTTGGGTTTATTAATTCAATTTAACAGAGTTAACTGATATTTTACATGTTGTGTTAATGTCAAGAACATATTCAAACCTTAAGAGAAGGTACTCGTGTTTTTTTGTATAAAAGATTACATTAAATGATTATAGAAAAGAAAAATCTTTTGTGCTTTTTTATTTATACTGTATATCAATCCTCCCCCAATACTACAGTATTTGATGTGAGCAGTCTGTTATTTGACAAAAAAATGTATGCCTGTATAGAGTCATGATATTCCTATATAAAAAAATAATAATAATGTTATATTTATATAGCGCATATTGCACATTGCCCCTATGCGCTTTACAGAGAAATAATATAGGCCAACCGAGAAAAAGCAAATAACAATAAAATAATAACAAAAAAATAAAATAAAAATAATCATAATAACAATAACAATGAGACTAAACTACTCCTATTCCTTAAACTAATTAATGGTTGGCCGTTGACTCCGAGGAGCTCATCCGCCCTTTATATATAGTCATGATGTGATGTCATCATGACCATATATAGGCATGTCGCATGTTTTTGTCAATAAAATTTGATAGTATGGAGAGGGCGCTATTAGTAGGGAGCGTTTGATTTGCGTGATATGATTCTAGAATGGTTCACCATCCTGCACTGATTTGGGGTAAACTGGGGCCACGAATGCAAACGACAAGAACTAATGCATGCACAGCTGGATGACTTCATTACATTCTACATCTGTCTTGTGCAATCGAAAACTCCATAATAACATTTTAAGTAAAGATATTTGTGCAAGTCGTATTCCAAAAATTTCGCCATCTGTAATATGCCACCCACATACATACTGGTATATAAATTTCAGTATGTTTACATTGATATAAAAAAATAATCTAATAATTTTATATTAGCTACATTAATTTTAATGGAGGGATTATACGATAATAATTTCATAATAATATTTTAGGAAAGGGATGAAATGAGAACTACTTTTTTCTACATATCCATTAGTCAAGGCAATTTGTTGAGGAAAATATTGTCATTCAAATTTTAATTTAAAACTATTAACTTAATAATTGTAAAGCTCTGTACAGATTATCAAATTTTCTTTGACAAAAAAACTGTTGTATGCCCATATATAGTAATGATGTGCCTATATATGGTCATGATGTGAGGTCACCATGACCATATATAGGCATGTCGCACGATTTTGTCAAAAATAAATTCTAAGTACTGAATTTTGTTCACATCCCAGCAAGAACCATTATAGATTCTTTTATTTTTTGTATAACAACAGTACATCATACCGGTGTACTAATGTGAATTGCTTAGAGGCCTGGTTGGCATTAAGCGCTAAATAAGTCTAACATATTATACGGAATAAAACTTGAATTGTAATTTACATTCTAACAATTTATTTCGATTACAAAATTGCAACATATATATTTCTGATTAACCGACATAATTCTCCATTTTATTGGAGAAATTTAAATTAACTTGTTATACAAAACTTTTTAATGGCACCATAAAAAATACAATGAATCATAGTTATTTCAGAATGACTTTAGTAAGGATGTAAGTGATACAATTCATCTGACTATTCAGACAAGCCATTTCTTCTGTTGTTAACTATACCATGGGCGTAGGCTGTGGGTTGCGTACGCATCCTCCCATGGCAGCAAATTAGTATCACAAAGCGAGTTCAAATACTAAAATATGACATTAGGTTTTCATTGGAATAGGGATTTACTTCTGCACTTTCAATTTTTGCCGCCCTCAGTTCTGCATTCTCAATTTTCGCACCCCCCTCCCCAGATGAAACTAATCTTGTGCCCCTGCAAACCCAATAAACTTAAGCGAATCATACACAGTGATGCGATTCAGGAGAGGGTTGTTGATGGTGGCAATGTCGTTAGGAAAACTTCCAGAGGAACTGCTACTGTGTTGCTACCTGACGAAATCACCTGGAGAACAAGAACAAACATAAATAAATGACCTGCTACACTATTATAGTTGCTACCATCTAAGTAGCACCTGTAGCAAATAGTATACTTCTAGCTACCATCATAATACATGTGCTGTCGCAAGTACCTTGTCTGTACTGCTACATCAGATGACAAAACACATGCTACATATTATATTAGTTGCTAAATCATAACACCAGAAGCAAATAATGCACCAAATAATATACTTTGTGCTACCAACATAATACATGTGCTATAGTTAACTTTTCAATACTGCCACATCACGATTTAATGCTTGCAGTGAAAACACTGTAGGGAGTGTAGCGATTTCATTAAAACAATACTTGATTTGCAATCTGACTAACCCGTTCTTGTGTGGCATTATGCCAAACAACAAAGGATGATGGTTCCTCTTCTTGCTCTTTCTGTGGCAGTAATTCTTCTGCAGTCGACAGCTTGGTTCCATGCATGTTAGTCTCATGTCGATGAAGATGATGCTTGTGCCGGAATACATAGCCACATGATTGGCATTTGAATTTCCCGCTTGAAGAATGTGACCGTATGTGGGCCTTACACATAGCCTCAGTTTTGAAGCGCCATGTGCAGCTTTTAAATGTGCACGCAAATGGCCGGTCTTGGGAGTGCACCTGCATGTGTTTGGCCAGTGTTGATTTGTCTGTGTAAGCAAATCCACAAATCTCACACAACACGCATCCTGCCGGGTGCATCTGACGGTGTTGATGTATTAAACTATTCACATTAGATCTAAAGTTGCACTGCGCATGCGCACATATGAATATCTTCTTGCGATGCACCTTCCTGTGTGCATTGAGGCGTGTCTGTGATTTGAACGCTTTACCACATTCGTCACAGAGGAAATTCCTTTCTGTGCGGTGAATTTCCATGTGTGTCCTTAAAGAACGTGCCCTTTTAAATGTCTTCCCACAAGTTGTGCACTGAAACTCACCGAGCCTTTCCTTACATGGTGTTCGCCTCGGTGGAGTCCGTGGCTTTGGCGGTGGAGTCTCTTGTCTTTCTGCATTCCTTTTGATATACTCGGACAGCCAGACAACCTCCCCAGCTTTACTGTTTTTATCGTGCAAGTCATTTTTCTTGGTGGTCTCATTATCCATTAACGTTCCATGTTTCTCAAACATATGTTTACTAAGTACTGCAACTGTGTATGATTTGTGGTTGCAATGAATGCAGCAAAACGCCTGCTTAGAATACTGAAAATTCTCTCCCTTTTTGACATGTTCCGTGACAAGCTGAAACTGATAGTCTTTGCCACCTTTTAGGTACTTATTTCTTTGTTCAATAAGTTTTTGATATTCTTCTAACTCGGAAGACGCTTTACTGTTGTTGAAGCAGTTGGTATTGTCAAAGACATCAATGGCATGGTGAAGTTTATAATGTCGTATAGTAATTATTATACTGGTGAACCTCTTCCTGCATAACTCACACCGACTACTCTTTTCTTCCTTGGTATCTATCAAATAGAAAATGTACTGTATAATTGCCATTAATAAAATGGTATTAAATTAGATAGTGAAATGTTAGTAATTTAAAAACATTCATCTTCAAAAACAAGCTTCAAAATATGACACCAATTCTAAAATTGTTATTGTTATTAATACTAAAAACTATTTTTCATTTACTTTTTTTTTAGAAGAAAAAATACATTTGGTTATTCTTTTTTCTCTTGCCTCAAATGTTTTTATGTCACTGTAACACTCAGAAAATAGTACTGAGTTAATAAAAGTTTCTGCTACAATGCAAACAATATGTTAGTTTTTAGTAGCATTTGTTGCCAACAATGCTTCTAAATGAGTGTAAAATAGCCGCTGCTGTTTATAAAAGGGGTAATTTAAATCATACGTTGCAACCGATGAGAAAGGAAATCCAGTAAATCATAGAACTGTTCCACACATTGTCCACAGGTAAACGTGTCACATAAAGGCTCATTAAAGGCGTCTTCCTCCTTCTCGCACTCCATTTCTCATAATTTTCTGGACATTTTCCACGATTTAATATTCTTGTAACATATTCAAACCTGCAATAAAGTAAAAACAAATGAAATATCCATGGACTATACTGTAGGTTTCCTGAGCTACTGTACGTTCACTCGGTTAAACCTGTTGTTCATCCATTCTTAGGTAATTAATTTTAATTTGACCAACCAAGGCAATGTTTGCATAGTTATTGTACTTCTTTTATTCCTTGTTTCGCTGACTTTCGCTTAACTTTTTTTAAAGATCATCCGAGGAAGACGGAAAAAAAAAATAAAAATAAACTTTTGTTTTCTTATTTAGCAAATAATTTTTCCCAAAACATCCAGAAGCAGAAAATAAAATTTTATTAGTAAATGTAAACAGTGTAGTAATGTGATTGTACAATGCTTTAAATTTATATAATTCAGAAGATATATACCTTATCTTTGGAGATTTCAAGGCAGTGGAGGGCGTAACAAAAATAAGAAAAACTTTTATTTTTTTCTGAAATTTCCATTTTTTGTGGTGGCAGGTACACTAAATTCAAATTGGCAAAAAATTAAATTAAAGTTTTATTCAAAAATCATTATTTACGGGCAACGTGTTCGCTAATAAACAAGGTATAAAAAAAGTCTCACTAGGCCTATTCATTTATTATTGGCTAGGCTAGCTAGGCGGCCCTATATAGGTTAGTCTAGTGCAATAGTACTACTTTAGGTGTCCTACTAGGCTATTCGGATTTCCTAGCCTTGGCTTAGGCCTAGCTAGGCCCAAGCAAGGACAGACCGGTATATTTGTAACACCAATCAACAAATGTTTATGATATATAAGTACTGGCTCTGAGTCCTTCAACTTCTATACTGGAAAATAAAAAAATAAAAAAACAGTAGGCCTAGGATAGATCGTCCTTAGGCTAGAGCCTAGGCTATGTTACTAAAACCACACCTGGGAGAGATTCACCCATCAACGCAACATCGACGGCGGCGCGGCGGCGGCGGCGTCATCTCAGCAGCGCGCTTGCGTCAAGGAAACTGTGGAGCTGTCGTGTTCACAGAAAAGTATGACCCAATTTTAATCAGTCCTGTTGTCGAACCTAATAATAATGCGTTATAATTCATGCCACATATAGACAATGATTGATGAGAATTTAGTTCTATTTCGAGGCATACACTGAGCATTTGTTATGATTTATTCATCATTTTAATCAATATTGATATCACAATCTGCCAGTCTCTCTATCTCTCTGGCAACTAATTCATGATTTTTTGTTGTTATGTTGTGAGTTTGTCGATCGCGAGTTTTGTTGCGCGACGAGACGTTATCGATCGTCGACAACGACTTAGCGTTGATTTCTGTTCTGATCGATCCACTTGACTGCTTCTCATATACAGAGAGCTGGCCGCCTAGCCTAGGCCAAGTGACAGAAGTAGAATTTACGAATTCTGAAATTCAGTTTACGGAATGATACCGAATGACATTCGATTTATGTGCAAGTATACTCATCAATTACAGGTAATGTTCAGTGCTGTGAGTCAGTGTGTGTATTTTGTTGGGCTTTGATTACACACGAGTTTTAAACTCTTTGCCTCCTGTTATCACTACTAAAATAAAGAAAGGTAAGGTAAGGTAGCATTATTTATCATCCGTCATCCACAACCAGTGTGTGATTGTTGCTGGTTTTCGTGCTTAGGTACGGGTACCGATAGTTAGTACCTAGCTAGGCCTGGGCCTAGCCCTACATGTAGTAAAATCAGTGACTTGTTAAAACTTAACCCCATTGTTAGGCCTATACTTACCCCACCATTCCCCTGTCGTATTGCTAAAGCAAATGTGGGGATGGGGGGTTGGAAGGCAGTCCTAACGAAATGATTGATTGGCCTTCTTCATAACAACAAAAATAGGCTCTACTACTCTAGCCTAGGGGGCCCAAATTAAATAATACAGGTAGGCCTAATTAATAGTAATAATAATAATATCACTGCATGGAAGAAGGCCACTTGTTTAAAACAACAGTGTCAGTACAGTAGTAGGTCTAATACTGCCGTAGGCGTGAATGATGTCCGGTTCGGCCGTGCACTTTTTCGGCCGTGAGATATTCAATGCCCAAATAAGGGTTATTGTATGGAACGCCGAGTAGTGTAATCAATGCGCGAATTAGATATCGCAGTGCAACGTTGGCCGCAGGTTAGAGGGTATACTGTAGAGGGAAATCATCCGTAATAAAATCAAATTTCTGAAATAAAGGGTATATAAATAAAAATGTATTGTTTGTTTTTACTTCTACTTAGAAGAACACAATACCATTTAAATATGTAATTTAGTACATTATTATTAAGATTGTTTTACGGAGTTGTTTTAATAGCATAATTTTTAGTTAAGAAGTGTTTTACATTTATTTTATCCTGCAAAATATTCTAAATTGAAACTTTATTGCTTGGAAGAAATTTAATTTAACTATAACTGTAACTTATCAAGAAACTTGATTTGTATCTTAGAATAAAGTATATAATATAATTATGTACGATTAAACAAGCGTAACTATTGTAAGACGATTATACGTTCAGTGACTGATTGGTTACCTTATTTTTTTTTAATAATTAATAATTAAATCTAGGCATGAATGGAAATATATTGCTTTAAATAGGTATCAAGTTGCTTAGTAACAATAAATTCAGTGAAAAACATTCCCACAAGTAGGGTCCAATGATACTCTTGGGAGAATAAGGACACAAAGTTTTGTACGCCGCCAATTCAAGAATGTTATCAGAGACGAAGTCTTTGTACGCCGCCAATTAAGGAATGTTATCGGAGACAAGAAAAGAATGTCAAATGCTGAAAATAGCCGACTGGCTTGATCTCTGTACATGGTAACTGTACGAACATGTGCGATGGTTCTGGAATGTACCGGTAGTTGTTCCCTGAGTTGTTTGCCTATACAGACCCTATAATGTAGGGTCTGTGGCCATGGCCTATACGACGTGTTGTTTTCTTGTTTATTAATTATTTTACATAAGCCTTAAATCTTAATACAGACATTGATTATGATCATTAACCTCTGTTGTGTGTTATAACAGTATTATTGCTCATTAAACCAGGTTGAACTTTTAATCAGTTGGTGAATTCGCATTAGGTGATTCATCAATCGGCAGACACTGCACGAATGGGCATGTTTTGCCCTATCTAATACAAGTGTAACCCCGGAAACGTGTATTTCTATTTAAAGTTCTTGATTTTAGGGTGATGTATTTCATGTTTTTTTTTGTTCTAAAATAATACACGAAATCGTTAAAAAACAAACAGTGCTGGTCAACAGCCTGTCAGTCGGAAAATTTTGAGTGCCGGACGGGGCATCAATAATGTGATTTTTTGCTTCAAATCAATCAATCAATCATTTAAGAACGTATAGGCCTAGAAATAATATACAATGAAACATAAAGCATCAAATACTGTAAGCTTTAATATTATTACGAAAAGTATAATAAAAATCCACTGATTTGGCAGTATATTAAAATTATCAACATTCTTCTTCTTCCTCTTCTTCAATATATGCATTGTCACTGTAATATGAAAATAATAAAATCCTTTAGATTTGATTATCAACATATAAATGTGTTAGTTTTAAATAGATAAAACAAAATATATTATAAATCTTAAAACATTATTATTAACTTACACAAACCTAACAAAATCCACTGTTCGTTTGTTTCAAATGGATAAAACGAAATATGAATCTTAAAACATTATTATTAACTTACACAAACCTAATAAAATCCACTGTTCATTTGTTTCAAATAGATAAAACGAAACATGAATCTTAAAACATTTATTAACTTACACAAACCTAATAAATTCCACTGTTTTGTTCTCAAACTCATCGCAGTATTAATGCCATTGAATTGCTTAAAACCACATTAATTAATTTGCAGCATAAAGACCTGATAATACAACACGATTATCAACGTATGATTGCATATATAATGTACATTCCTTTGTTTTAAATAGATAAAACGAAATATATGCCATCTAAATCATTAATTATTAACTTACATGGGACTTACACAAACCAAATAAAATCCACTGTTGTTTTGGCAAACTAATGGCAGCATAATAATGGCAGCATAATAATGCCCGGATTACCTTAAATCCACATTAATTATTTGGCAACGTAGAAGACCTAACAATAAAACACGAAATAATGGATACTGTAGCAGCAATAGATTAACCACACACACATACGTACAGCATGCACAGCTTTGTGCTTACTTGGCGTTCCATACAAATATATCCCGGCCGAACTTGTTCACGGCCAAACTGGTCCTACAGCCTAGTATGGTCCACGTTCTTAAGTTCACTTTATAACCCTTAAAATTAGGCCATGTAAAAGTAAAAAAAGTTGCAACACAACAGGCATCATGGATGCCATGTAGCTACAGTATAACTATAAAACAACTGTAGAGCATATAACTGCAAGTGGTCTGGCTAGCGTACGTACCGGTGGCAGCGCCAGCGGGGTGGCAGGTGGCTTAATCCCCCCATCGGACAGGTCAAGCCCCCCCCCGCCAGACAGAGCTCGTTGGGCAGTCAGACCATAAAACATATAAAAATAGGCCCACAACAAGCCAAGACATGTCTGTCACAGTCTGAGACTGCCATTTTCGGCGATCTAGAGGTTGATATTCTTTAAAAAAATCTCCAAAAAAAAATTTAAAAAAAAACATCTGGTCAGTGGCCTCTCTGATGGTAGGAGGGGATGCTAACCAATTATTTTATTTTACATGGCCTTAAATTAAAATGTCCAATGTGTTCATTTGTACGTTTTCAATATTTAATGTGAAATTATATTTAAAATTATTGATGCTTAACAGATTCCTTGAAAAAATGTAACTGAATGATGGTAAATATAATACTACTACTCCTAGACAGAATTATAATATAAAAAAACGAAATGATTGTTTTATATTTACATCAAAAGACTGGGGAATAATACACACATGACATACAGAGACTCCGAAACAGATTGCTCAAATAAGTATAATATAGTCTAATATTTTTCCTGGTCATTGGATACAGAATCAATCATACACAACATGCAAACTCCTCCGCTCCCTCTGGGGAGTAGGTCAAAGCCTGTTCCTACTTCAGTTTTGCAGCCGAGCACTACTAATTATTTTCATTCTAAACCATTCACCTCCTACCTAGCACCCATCTATACTCCCTGGGTGAAGAGAGGCAAATACACAAAGTGTTTGCCCAAGGACACAAGCAGTGTGACAAGCATCAATCTCAAAGCCCAACATCTTAAACGCTTCTACACAATAATTCATTCTATGTTGGTGCTACTAATCTACACCTGGATGCCACAAAAATCTAATAAAACAGCAATGCCTCAGAAAGTAAGGCCCAATAAAAAAAAAATATGCATGACTTCTGTGGTAATTTTTTTTTCATTTTTTATTAAATAGTAGATATTGTTTGTATTATCTCAATAATGTTTTTCTTAAAATATCAATGAGCCAGCAAACTACACAAGGGTGATATGTGGCTTTACCAAAATTAAAATTAAAAAAAGCTTCCCTCCCTCATAATTTTTCCAGCCTAGGCTGATAAAATAATAATATTTTGTATTTGGTTTAAACATGTTTTCAATAAAATTTTGAAAATGAATTAATATTTCCTTCGCCAATTATATACCCTTAACATGGTTTTCAGTCAATAGAAAGATTTTCATACTATAATGCATGTAATTTTGTTATTTTCTGGTGTCTTATTGAAAGTCACATTGGGTGGGAGGTGGGGAAAAGTTTTGAAAATTAAAGTAAAATGGGAAAAAAGGAAGCTTTTATAAAAGTTTTTAATCTGAGATGAATTTAGAATTTTATTTTAATTTTTTTAATGAATATGACACACAGTCCTAAGCTTAAAGTCAAATATGAAAGTTTTTTACAATTTAATACGAGTCAATTGATGGTTGTGGGAGCAGTATTATTTTATGCATGGCTGTTATACAAGAAAAGTATTATTAACTGTTGACTGTCATCTAGTGTAATAACTTAAGGTTACTGTTTATTTACAAAGTAAGCTCTTTATTGAATTTTATTCGAACTTGTTTCATTAGATCAACGAGGCATAAGTCTGTCATTGTTCTTCTTTTGGTTAGCAACCACATTGTAGCCATGTAATATCCACCTCTAGGCATTCCCAATAACAAGCTTTATTAGTAGGTAATTACAAATTCATGATCGTGGCCAATCATTTCCAACTGTCTTATTGCCTTCGTAAAGTACACTACTTGTTCCGCTATTAAGACTTCGTAAAACATTATGCCGTATATTCTCCATTCAACTCATCTCCTTCAATCATGCTGCAGCGGCTAATTATAATTATAACAGAAAATATTCTAATAATATGCACTTTAAACATGATTCCATTTGACATTACTATTAAATTACACAAGCAGAATTTGTCGACATATAGATTGGATACAAATTTTTTTGAGGGATTGTTTTACAAAAAGATTTCTGAAAAATTTAAAGCATATGGTTTGATGAGAAACATATAGATTGGATACAAATTTTGTTGAGGGATTGTTTTACAAAAATTATTCTTTTGTGTATCTTGCGTTTCAGTTGAAAGGAATATAAACAGGGAGAGCAGCTGATGTATTGATTCCTATTTCCTGGCAAGTTGCCAATATGGGACAGGCAAAAGGTGATTAGCATAATTATGGGAAGTACATGTTCATCCCAAAATAATACAGCTGTTACTTTGGAACCAAGAAAACAGTAAGTAATAATAACATTATTATTTTATTATACTGTATGTCATCTGTTACTATAAGGTATGAAAAACAGCTTAGGAATAGTCAAGTAGCAAATAATGTGATTGTTTATTTCACTTCCAAAGATCAGACCCAACAATGTATTCAAGAACCTTTTTGTGAAGAGCACACTCACAGTAGGGGATTTAAATTGGGAGGGGTGTAAGGGGCATACGCCCACTCTATTTTTTGTACAAAAAAAAAATAGGCTAATTTTTTTTTAAGCTTTTCAGAAAATTACCAAGCTAACTAGTAAAAATCATTCAAATACAAACTCAAATTAATGAAGGTGCTAAAGGTTTAAGGGAGAATCTTCCCTTGTACCCCTACCAGGGGCTCTTCCCTGAGACTCTCACTCAGTTCGCACATTCACGCCCCCTCTTTCTTACCTGGCTGGATCCACCACTGACAATACCTTTTAATTATGCATTATTAATTACATGTACAGTACAGTAGTACATTGTGAATTTGTATACTATGGCCGGAGGCCTATGTCTAAAGAACAAACAGAAGTTCATGGTAATGTAGGTCTGATGTCTCTAATGATGATTGGCTGTCTTTTTTTCACAGTGGATAGCATTTTACCTGTTTTACTAAACTTTCATGCATTGTTATGTCTATTTACATGGTGTACTGCAAGCATTAATATATCTTATTTCATTGTATAATTAGCAATGGTTTAATTTTTTTTATATTGGTGATGTTTACACTTTTTATTAGAATGTTATTTGTTTAATTTGTAATGTGATTTCAATTTGTGAAAAATTTGTATAGGCCTTAAATTAGTTAAAATAATCTCCCAATCCAGTTACATTAATTGTATTTTTGTTAACTGCGATGACATTTCTTTTTGATGTTTAATAAAGATACCAAGATATAAGTAATTATGTTATTATGTAATGGCTAAATAATTTTATTCTCTATTAGTTTATTATAGTTTGTTATAGTACCAACATGTTGTCAGCATCGCTTTTTTCTGTTTCTCTGTCCATCCGAGTCTGTCACTGATGTTTTTGCTCATTTTCTATATGAGGCATGTTGTGGCGAAATGGTTAAGTTGTTGCAAAAAATTGCCTAAAAGTCCAAATTTGTTTTCACTATACATCAACATTTTAATGTCTTATTAATCATGTCCCAAATTGTTCTGGAAGTGGTCAACAAATCATTTATTTAACTTTATTTTGATAGTTAATTCTATTAAACAATGTACAGTATGCACAAATAACTTTGAAAGGCAATTACTCAAAATTATGTTTATCTTGACTCTAATATTGCTGTACAGTACTTTCACTTTCCAATAACTTAGGCTTGAAATGTCCAATTTCCATGAATGACCTCTCATTTTAAAGATCACATACAGTACTCAGGTATCTGGAATACCAATAACTTGAATTTCAATTTTTGCTACAACATGCCTCATGTTATGAGTACACCTGCTTGTTTTGCTAGGGCACCTCACTCAGGTTGGCCACCGCATCGAGCCTTGTTCTTATTGGTCTTTCCCTGCCATTTTCATGTAATAATAAATAATAAATTTATTCTTATATAGCGCAAAATGCAAGAAACCTCTAAGCGCTTTACAATAAAAGGAAAAACCGGATCAAAATAAAAAGAAAAATGATTACAACAGTGAGGGAAATCAGGTTAACATTATGAATGAATATTTATTTATTTATTTTAATTTATTTAATTTATTAATTTATTTATTTTATTTTTATTTATTTATTTTTCATTTATTTATTATTATTATTTATTTATTTTATGTAATAGAAAATGTATCTTGATGTAATGAACCAAACATTTATTTGATTTTCATGTCCCAAAAGGTGGGAGGGTGAAAATTTGCAGTAGGGCCTGCTATTGTTTTTATTACTGGTATTTAAAAAAATTATTTTCTATTTTTTGTAAACAGGGATCCCTTTTCAGGAAATGCTCCTCTCCAATAAAGACCTCCCCACCCTCTATTCAAATGGATATTCTACTATTTAAACTGTAATGACGCCACCCAAATTTTAAGCTGGGGAGGCATAATGATGATATTATATCACTTACATACTGTATTAGGCCAAATAAAATGTTACTATGAGATTTGAAGTCAACCACTATAATTACTAAGCTGCATGCAGTACTCTTCACTAATTTTGGTTTAGTTGATGAATGACTGTAATTACAAATTCCTGTCTCATTTCATGCATGGTAATGTATTTTTAATTTGAAATGAATCTTAATGTGACATTCATGATGGATGAATAATTTGTGCATTAAGTGTCCTTCTGGATAAAATGAAGCAAACAACGGCAAACTAAGATGCTCAATTATGGAATACATTATTAGTTAAAAGGCTTTTTCAATGCAACGTACAGTATATCAATCACTAGGCTAATGTTTAAATGGCGGTGTATCAGTAAACTGTAATTAGATAGGGCTCTCCTAATGACGGTTGCTAATACACACAGCTAATAATTTACAGCATTGTTGCCAGGGACAGCACTTGGCGCAGCGGTAGCAGTTCTGCTTCTGAACCTTTAGGTTGGAGGTTCAATTCCTCGTGCTATTTGCTTGTGTCCTTCAGTTGTCTCTCCCCCCCCCCCCCAGGAGTACAAGTGGGTACCTGGTTGAGTGGAGTTGAATAGCTTGGTGGTTAAGATGCTTGCCTTCCAATCCCAGGGTCCTGGGTTCAATTCCTGCCAGTGCAGGATTTTTTCTCACGACATAAACAACTCCACTCCCTAAATCTCATATTGAAATTTAGTTTGTGTAAAGCATCGTGTGTGTATGTTTGTCTTGTGTAAGGGATTGTCACCTATAAGTAGGACAGTGATATATATTCGCTATTGGCAATCCTTGGCACATGTGTTGTGTGCCTAAAGAAAGAATAATAATAATAACACAAAATGTGGTGATTACAGAACTTCAACATTATGGAATCCTTGCCAGTGACCTTCTTCCCAGTGATCATATGTAGAGATCTCTACAATAATAATAATAATAATGTTATATTTATATAGCGCATATTGCACATTGCCCCTATGCGCTTTACAGAGAAATAATATAGGCCAACTGAGAAAAAGCAAATAACAATAATATAATAACAATAAAATAAAATAAAAATAATCATAATAACAATAACAATGAGACTAAACTACACAATATGCACTCTATAAAATGTCAACTGTTATTATTATATTATAGTATACAGTATAGTATTTCATTTCAATTCAGTCTTTGTGAAAATGTTTCTCAGTTATGCAATGTACTGTAGACTTTTTCAAATAGGTCTACCCACTGTGGATATGGTTGCTAAGGCCCCACAAACATTACAGTACCAGTGTTCAAAGCATACAGTACTGTGCAGTAAGTTTAGGATAGATCCTGAATAAAATATTGACTGATAATACAGTATTAACTGATGATTACGGTATATTTTGATAATATACTGTAGGTCTCCCTCTAATTAGTGATCCTTCCAATCTAAGACCACCTCCAATTAAAAATCACTTTCTGTTGTCCTAAAGTAACAAATGTCATTCATGTAGTATAATAGTGCTAAAGACCTTAAAACCCTTGTCCCAAAAGTGACCTTTAACCGGAGCATGAGTATTGTATTTCTTTTGAGTCTAAACTGATAGAAATTCTTCTCCTCCTCCTCCTTCAGTTGTCAGGATGTTTCTCATAATGAAATAAAAACTCAACCGGTGAAAGGTTTTTGTTTTTTAAATGACAGATGTGAAACCTGACCCGTACTTTGAGTTCGAGATTAAAACATCCTGGAACGGAATTGAACTAATTATTTAATTGATTTTTTGCATGATAAGTACGACCCTGTCCTCGCTATTGCATAATTCAAATTGAGTATTACATTATTTGGCATGATAAAATATTTTCTCTATAGCCGACTGTACAAAACGGATGTATAAACTACCTTAGTCTTACAGCAGGTGGCACAGGTATACAATATCTATCAGCCACTTCCAACGTCTGTCCTTCAGGTCAGAGGTCAAATCTTGTTGATTTGTTTGGAATCATTGAATTATTCTTAACCAAGAATTTATAATTTGCATTATTTCTGTAATATGAGATGTAAATTGCAGGCAGGCTATAATTTTTATGGGCAAAGTTTATGACAATAATAATATCGAAGGACAGTGAATGTATAAATATAATCACAGTTATAAAAGTAACAGTAATTTATCATAATAATAATTTTAATTAATAATATAAATAATAGTAATAATTATAAATAATTAATCAGAAATTGTTACCACGCCAATTCAAAAAGTTATCAAAGGTGCCAAGTGCCAAAATGAATCAGACTAAGAGGCTTTAGAAAATAAGGAAGTTTGTGAGATTCTTGAACTAGATTTGAAGACTTTTTAAAGTCAGGCTTCGGAGGAAAAAGAATGTTTTATATGTTGTAGGACTAATTTTTTTAAGACAGAAAAAAGTTGTTTGACGAAAAACTGGGAAACAGTGAATGAGATACAGATTTTTGAATATTTAAAAACTGGGGGAAAAGGGGTGTAACTGCCCAATTTTACACCTTTTTCCCCCAGTTTTTAAATATTCAAAAATCTGTATCTCATTCACTGTTCCCCAGTTCTTCTTTGAACAACTTTTTTTCTGTCTTAGAAAAATCAGATCTACAACATATCAACAATTTTTTTCCTCCGGAGTCTGACTTTAACAGAAATGAGTAACTGAGGTGGGACCTGAACAGAAAATGAATGTTGACCATACTGTACATTTATGTTTAAGTAAAGGGACATACAGAAGGTGTTTATTAGTGGAACAGAGTGTACAGGAGGGAACATACAGTAGGGCATAGAAACTCCAAAAAATATGATGGTTGATTAAATGATGATAATGATAATAATAATAATAAAAAGTTTATGCATATTGTCAAAAAAATCGTGTGCATAGAAAAAAAGGTCTACGCTGATTTTGTGTAGTGTACTGGGCATGTGT